GAGCTTTACATTCAGCTTAGGGATGATCTTGTCCATAACCTTGGTAGCACCAGTGGAAACAGAGATGATGTTTTGGGCAGCACCACACCCGTCATACCATAACTTGCCAGAGGCACCAACTGTGGGGCCATCTCCAGTCATCCTGATTTATATCTGGCCACTGGACCCAGATGGCTCTGGAGGAGAACGTGAGGCTGGTGACTTTGTACAGTCCTGCCTCACTTAAATCCAATTCACTTGCAAGTTATGGCATCACCTTCCTGATGTCATGGTCCTCTTCGAAAGCAAAAGACAAACAACCTGTGAGTAGTATGAGCTGCCTCCCTAGGGACCTGACTGGCCAGTTCCAGTTGGACAATAAAGCTACTCCCTTCCCTCCTTTTTCCTTTCCTCCTTTCCTCTTCTTTTTCCTTTCCTCCTTCCTCTCCCTCTGCCCACACAGAGTATCATACCCTTACTAGCAGGTGCTCTGCCCCAAGGAATGTAAATTTTAATCTCTTAAAACTCACAAGATATCTTGGGGTTTACAGGCTAGATTTCTTTCTTAAGGACCATGCCTTAAACTCAATTAATTCACTCTGGCTCTCACTGATTGGCCAACAATAACTCCCAGCCCAAGCCCACTTAGTAGTCATTATTTAGGCCCTGATTGGCTCAGAATAAATGTAAAAACAATTGTTTCTATTTTGGCAAACCCTAAGGATCTTCCCCTCCCAGACTGATTTTTTTTAACTAGGTAAGAGCCAATTCTTTGTCTTATTTCTTACCTAGCCTTAATCATTGAACGGCTGTTGCCTCAGTCAAACTGAGATGTGTTAAAGACCTTGGCCAAGGTCTCCCACTGCATTCAGGGCCATTCCCAATTGTCCTGATCTATATCTTGCCATTGGACCCAGATGGCTCTGGAGGAGAAAGTGAGGCTGGTGATTCTGCACAGCCCTCCCTCACTTAAATCCAATTCACTTGCAAGTCACCTTCTTGTTGCCATGGTTGTCTTCCAGAACAAAGGACAAACAACAGCAAACAACCTGTGAGAAGCACCATCTACAATCTTCTGGGTAGGAGTAATGATACAGATCATAATCATGAGTCCTTCTCCCAAGCTGTCATGGATGACCTTGCCAAAGAGTTGGTAGTTCAGGAGGCAATTGACAATTGACAATCTTGGGTGATTTCAATTAACATTCTTCAGAGACTCAAAGCCACACAACACCAAACAATTATTGTTCAGCCTATGATAGAGGCTGGAACACATGGAAAAACAGCCTAATGTAAGGATGCTGAAAATGGCCTTCCATGAAATAGCTGTGGCCCCACAACTGTTCCTCAGGTCAGCTGGTTTCATGAATTTTTGTTTTAGAAACACAAGGAGTGATTGGAAACTCAATACTTCCATTGTCCATTTACATGCTTTTCTTTGTCTTCCCTAAACCTGAAGAAACAGAAAAGGTCATGAAGCAAGATCTGTTTGACTTCCACTTAGCACAAGCCATAGGTGCAGCTCTTACACTGACTTAACGGGAAACGATCCAGCTCTTCCCTTCTCATTGCCAGAACCAGCACTTGGCTTCCCCCAGCTCCCCAGACATAGATTGGTATTGTTTGATGGTTACACAAGCATTTAAACATGCTTCCATGATTTATCCTGCCTACATAAGTTTCATGGAGCTACTGCTACTGTCTCCCTGGGAAGAATGACTTTTGAAGACAAGCAACCAGATGGTGCTAACTGAATAGGACAGTGTCATTGGTTTTCAGAGGTAGAAGACAAATGTGAGGAAACAATGGGAGAGGGAAGAAAGTATGAAATCAAGAGGAGAGAGAAAAGATGGAAGGTACTATCAGCAAGTGAATTAGCACAGTTCTATCCTCTGGCCATGAACACTGAGTGTGTAGAGCTTCATTCCTATTCAAATCACACATCATTAATTCAGTCCATGTTCATCTTTATACTCCTGCAATTATAACACTGCAATGGACACAGATGGCTCTGCATTACAAACAAATCCATGACTTTGTAAACCAACTTGCAATGCCTTCTGGGGAAAAAGGAGACAGAAGGAAAGAATAACAATCTAGAGAGAATACAAGCAAAAACTCCTCCAAATGCACTTTTAGCTAAGTGCCGCTACCAACTAAAATCTTTCACTGCTGAATTTATAAAGAGAACTTACATTTTAAAAGTCAATCAGGAGGAAAGACACCAACATTTTCTCTGAGGATGAGCGAATTTCTCTATAATTTACAGCAAGAAACACTAACTCCCTAGAAATGAAATAAATCACACTACTTGACGCACATACAACTGGGGAAATACACATCAGTTAGAACATAGAACTAAGTTATAAAATTTGTGATTAATAAGCACCATTTACTTGGTACATAAAACATATGGACAGCTATATAATTAGCCATTTATTTCCATTTCAAATGCCTGAAATGAACAAACCACCAATATAGATAATAGGTACTTTCCAAAAGGAAGCCCTAAATAACCCAACCAGCTTCCCAACAATAGTTAAACCTTCAGGACCGGAGAAAGGAGTGTCAAGTTGATCACAGTCATTGTAAAACAAAGACAAAGAAGAACTGCTTTGGGGTAACATCACATTTTTATATTAAGAATGCACAATCTATCTTTTCTCTTTCTCCATATACTTCAATACTTTGGGTGAAGGAAGAAATAAGACAAAGACAGAGTTTTCAAGTGACCATACTTCATATAGCATCTTCAAACAGTAGAGTAATTATCCAATGGAAAAATCCCTTTTCCTGAACTGCACTTTCCCTTCTTTTCCCATGCTGTCCAAATAAACTATATAATGCCTTCATGTGGTTTTAAGCACTTGTGATATTATGGAAGTCTTTAATAAACCTGATAGGAAGTCTTTAATAAACCTGATACACCTTAACTCAAGGCCAAGGCTCCTGTCTATACTTTTCAACTCTGCTTCCTATTACTCTTCCCACAGTTGATTCAATCTATATGACACTCTCTGATCATTACTGTGAGGCTGTATCAAGTCTTACAAGAAATCATACACACAACGTGGATGTTGGCTCTATATTTGTGTGTGTGTGTGTCTGTCTGTCTTTCTATCTGTCTGTCTGTGTTTGGTGGGGTAGGAAGGGGGGAAAAGGGGAAATACTAATCCAGACAAATGTTTCCTGGTTAGATTAGAACAAAAAAGTAAAAAAAAAAACTTTCCCCCTGAATCACTAGTCAAAAACATTATGTGCAAAATTTCAAAAGCAATTATAAGCTGAGTTTTCAACCAATGCTGAACAAAAACCTGGTCAACATATTAACTCACTTCTAGACTCCTAAAATTATTTATTTGGGAGTTTTTAAAGGAGTACAGACATTAAACTACTGAATGTGAGTCTTTCATTTGAAAATGGGAGAAATATTTCACTACCAGTCTTCATCCTACTCAACATCTCTGCTGCTTTTAACATTCTTGCTTACTTCCCACTCCTGCTTAATAATCTCTCCTCCTTCGGTTTCTGTGACACTGTTCTTTCCTGGTTCTCCCACACCTCATTTTGCTAAATTACTGTCTATCCCTTATCCCCTGGGCTTGGGTATATGCCAAGCCTCCATCCCAGGACTTCTTCTCTCCCTTCTCCACACTCTCTACCTTGGGGGCCTAATCCACTCCCTTGGGTTAAATTATTATTTCTACACAGATGTCTTCTAGCCTAGTATTATCTCTACACAGCCTATACATTATCATGTACACAGACTAATTTTTTTCCCTAAACACCAGTTTTGCACTGCCACCTTATCTGCCTGCTAAGCATCTCCAACTCCCATTGCTGAGTGTCTAGAACTTGACAAGTACAAAACCAAACTCATCATCTTATCCTCTAAACTTACCCCTTCCCTGAACTTCTTTTCTTACTAAGACCCCATATGGTCCCTGAAATCCAGGTTTATAACCTGGGAATCACCCTTGGCTTCCTCCGACTCCACTCAATTTTCAAGTCCTGAACACTTTAACTCCATAATATCTGTTCAACTCATCCCTTTGTCTTCACGCACACGGCCACTGCCCTCAGTTCATGCCCTCATTGCCTCTTGCCTCAACTATTGGCCAATCTCTAGGTTTCTCTTCTTTGTAATCTAGCTTCCACACTGCTGCTTAAATAATTAAGGCACACTTAATTATATATGTATATAAACATACATACATATACATATACACACATATATGTATACACAAATAATTAAGGTCACTTCATTCACTTGCTCAAAAGTCCTCAATGGTTCCCCATTGTTTTAAGGCTAAAATATCAACTCCTCAGCCTGACAAGTTTGATGTCTCCACAACAGAGTTCCAATTTACTTTTCCAGTCTTATTTCTCATTACTCCATTTTACATGTACACATTCCATGTAAGATAGACATGTGTTCTTTGAATTTGGCATTCCATCTCAGACATCCATGTCTCTAAATGTATTCCTTGCTCATCTCCACCTCTCAGAGTCCTTATCTTCTTTCAAAATAAGGCACAACTCTGATGCTGCCACTTCCTCTGAAACCTTCCCTGAATTCTATACATCCCCAAGTTATTATGCAGTCTCCTTGCCCAAATCACTTTCTATTTTCCTTATATGTGTGTGTATATGTGTATGTATGTATGCATACACATACATACATATAATAACAACAATACATATACACATCTATATTTAGATAGATAGGTAGATAATGTTGACTTCCCTACATAAAGTAGGCTCCTTGACAGCAGGCACTATCTTGTTTTGTGTTTTGTATAATATCTTATACATAGTAGGTGCTTTAATTAAAATGGAATTGAGTCACCAGATCACTTTAAACTCCTCTCAGATTCTTGGGAGAGTCAGAGAGCAAAAGGGATAGAGAGAACACTTTAACCTACCATCTCACACACAGCAACATACTTTCTAACAAACAGAAAAAAAACGAAGATGCTTCCACCCCTTTTGCTTTTTGATTTAATCTTAGAAGTACTAACCTAAAATGCATAGAATGCCATCAGGCTGAGACTTGCTGCTTTGGGTCAGGATGCTTTGAATTTGACGAAGTCGGCTGCAACTACAAAAAAAGAAGAAAAAACACTCAATGATAGTGGACCACACAATGAGGATGATGATGCGTATTCAGGTCCTGACTCAAATAATTTCAGACACTGCACTTTAAAAAAGGATACAAAGCCACTGCAAAATACAGAAAAATGAAAGATTCTAAAAGGGATAAAATATAGGTTCAATACATAAAAACATGACTTAATTATTATTTTTATTACTATAAAGAAAGTTAAGCGGTATTAGGTTTGCCCAGTGTGATAATTGTGATTTAAAAAAACATACATTGTTTCATGTTTTAGTATAAGTAACAAGACTCCAATATAAAGTCACTTAGGCTAAGTGGTCCTAATGACCACAAACTACATACTATGACAGACAAGCCTGTACTTTTCCATTGTCTTGACTCATTCTGACCCTGACTGAAGCTCTTGATTAGAGGAGGTTACCAGCCACTATAGCGGTTGCACGCTGACACTCATTTACCAATACACCCATTTATCCAATTGCCAATCTGAATACTCATCCAATTTCTGGTCCCAATTAGGAAACTCATCCACCCAAATATAATATCAATAAGTGACCTGAGTAATCTCCCTACCACATCTGGGTCAGATTAGGAATGATCCTTCCTGTATCTGACATCAACTACTTATTCTCAATCAAGCCCATACTAAAAGTACAAAACTTCCTTGCTTTGGTCCCACTCTAAGCATGTACTCCCACCATCTGCCTCATGTAAATGACCCTGGCTTTTTGTGGCCAAATCTCTGTGTTACCATATAGTACGTGTGTGCATTGTAGTTTTTGCCTGCTTGCTGTACTGCATGGTAATAAAGCTCATGCTTGTACTAGTTTCCTGAGGACCAATTCTCTAGAACTAAATCCTAGAACTAGGATTTTGGGTCTAACCTGGGCCTTGAGGCAAAATAAAGTACCTACAAATGAGAAGAACAGGTTAAAAGCAGTGTGTTGGTTGGTACTGATGAAAGAAATGCAGAAAGAAGTACTGATAAAAATACTTTTTAAAATATACACAAGTGCTACGAGAAGTGAGGAATACAGAAAAGTATAGGAAGAACTGTATGAATTGATGCAAAGTGAAATTAGTAGACTGTGAAAAAATAAAATAGAAAATGACTATGACAATCTAAGGGGAAAGAACAACAATAACAAAACAACTGAAACTAAATGCTGCAAGATTATACCGACCAAACTTGGCCCCAAAGAAGATACATGAGAAGATGTTGATGATTACAGATGTGGAACACTGCATAGGTCAGGCTTTTTTAATATGTTGGTTAGTTCTGCTAAGTTTTTCTTATAAAGGATGGCTCTCTGGAAGAGGGAACAGGATATAATAGGGAGTGTAGGTTATAGAAAAAGCTATTAATAAAGATTACTTTTTAAAGTATACAGAAGAAAAGAAAAAGATATTCTGAAGGAACACAAATGGAAATTTTATTACTATCATGTTAAACTTAATCCTTTTGTTAAAAAACAAACTGTATATAAAACAAGTTCATAGTTATATGCAATCTTATTTTTAGTATAGTCAAAGGTTGTTTGTTGGCTATTAAATTCATAATAAAAAAGAAAATTAAATTTAAAAAGGGGTTAAGTGAGGTCTTGGCTATGTTTAGTAAAAAGCAATGATGGGGGGAAAAAGCAATGATGTATTGCCATTTCCACTAAGAATCACTTTTTACTTTATGTCTCCCATCTCAATGTTTCAGTGAGCGTGATTCTATGTATCTAGTCTTTTAAGATAAATTTTGACTAAGATCTTCCGTTTTATATCACCTGTATTATCTTGAAACTGACTGAAAGTCTTTAGAATCTAGGAACAAAATTTTTCTTGATTTTTTTCCTGAAATAAGGGGAAAGACCGATGGATAAATGGTCAAACGATAAGAACAAAGAGTTCTCAAAAGAAGAATTACAATTAACGACATGAAAAAAAACTACTCCAAATCACTAACAATAAATGAAAATCAAAATAACTTTGGGATTTCACTTCATACTACAAAGATGTAAATAGACATTTCTGGAGCGTCTGTAGAAAAACAGGCACAACGATACACTGTTGTTAGAGCTGTAAATTTGGTGTATCCAAAAAGTGACTAAAACGTCCACATTCTTTTACCCAAATATCCCACTGTTGGGGGCCAAGTTGTGAAAGGCTTTATATTCAGTTAGTCAATATGTATTTATAAGCATTTATTAGGTGCCTACTATGTTAGCAGGTCCCCACCCTGCATTACAAAGAGAGGCCTTTAAAGAGTTCATATTTTATATGGCAATAGAGAAGAACTAATATTTAAAAGCTTAAATAGCATAACTACTCGAGGAATAAGCAGCTACTACTGACTTTTTCCTTTCTCAAAAATAGTAATTATCCTCAAACCTATTCTTTTAAACCTAGCTAACTACAAGCTTGAATCATCTATTTTTCCCCTGGAGTGTGTGTGTGTGTGTGTGTGTGTGTGTGTGTATAAATATGTAATTTAAACATCTGGTATCCAATTAGATAAAATTTCTCAGGTGGAATGATGGTTTCATCAATTTGCACCAATGAAATTTTCATATACCCAGCCCAAGATTTCCTTTCTAATTCTATTTAATTACACCGAAAAATCAAATTTTCTATCAAAATAGTTAAGGGAAAGGTTATCATTGTCCCATTTACCCACAAGTAATAAAACCTGAAGCAAGTCTGTCACTTGGAAGAGAAAGAAACGGCCCCAGCCTCTTGTTCAGAAGACTTAAGTGGAAAAAAAAATCATAAAAACTGTTCATTTGTCCACCAAAATCTCGTAAACTCACCTAAGAGAAGATTCTGATTGCTGCAGCATCCTTAACACAAAGCAAAACTACCAAAAAACAGGTGCAGCAAAATGCACTGGAGATGGCCGAGTTGAAGAATACAAACTATTTCAGCCTTTTTGGGCAGCACATCCCAGTCAAGGAACTTGGCTTGTAGGCGTCTGCCTCTAACTGCATCTCCCAGAGGGAAGGATAAGATGAAAGAGGCAAGAGAGAAGATAAAGAACCCTAGGGAGCAGACGTTTCTTCTTTTGAAATCAACAATGCCTTCTTTAGGTTTTCCCAAATCTCTAATGTATAAATACTGATTCAGCAAGCCTTGCTGTGCTTGCCATATTTGAGCAAGTTAAGTACTCAGCAGCAGCCCGGAGTGTCTTGGCTGACAGGACTAGGAGGAGGAGGGGAAGGGGAAGAGATATGGACCGTTAGCTTGTAAACTTTTAGGTTTCACTGAAAAGCCATGTGACCAAAGTCTAAAGGATCACGTGCTCAAGGAACTGGCTTCCTTTCCTACCAGCAATGTGGTAGGAAATCAGAGATATGGAGAAGGCAAATAGCAAACAGTGAATCTCCTTTCCTGCTCTCTCTCAGATGAATTCATAGGAAGCCCCAGAACTTCAGGAAATATTTCTAGCGGCAGGGACTGCCTCCTTCTGGAGCAAGGCCTTGAGCTATTTGGAATCTCCCTCTCCCTTGTCAGACAAAGGAAGCTAACGTCATTTCTTGGCAAAAGCCTTTTCCTATGCTTCTCTTCCATCTGCTCAAGTTCAAAATTATACTTGAGCAGAGCCCACTGCTTAACTTGCCATTTGAGCTGGTTAAAATGGCAACAAGGGGCTTACTTACTCTAGCCAGAGCCCCAGCAGTCCTGGTAACAAGTGACAAAGTAGTTGTGAAAAAAGGACTTTGTGAACCTGAATGCACTTGAGAAATCTGACATAATACTAATTCTAATAGACTGGCATCTTCATGAAATCTTCATGAAACAAGCAAAACCAAGCTCCTTTCTCCAGTTTTCCTAACAATTTTGGAACCTTTACTTACCGTAAAGGCACTTTTCTAAATAATCTGGGACTCTCTCTTGGTCGAGCTGAGTTACCTCCTCCCAACGCGAGACTTTCTTCCCTTCGTATTTCTGGCATATATTCTCCTATGTAGATTTTCTCTGACTTCTGTTTGTTATCAATTTAGATTACTGGTTTTACTTGCTAAAGATAAGTTTGAAAACAAACAGATGGACTGATAGACAGACAGATTAGGTGCATAGATGGATACATAAAACTCTAAGATTTACCAAGGGTTTTTCTCACCATATCCCAGTCAAGTGGATAGGTTAGTATTCTTGTCCCTACTTTGTAAACGAGAAAAGCAAGACTGGGGGATCAAAGTTGGGTCTTGATTCCTGCTGCTTACTGCACCTCGCTGCCTCCCTGTGTGCTTATCTGGGCACAAGAATGCTCAGAAAGAGAACTCAGAGTTTCCTCATCCCTCAAATGAGGAGAGGGTGACATTAGCTGGCCTCTAAGGTGCCCTCAACTCTTAATCTGTGATCCAATAAACATAAGACAAGGACCCTAAACAAAAGTAACTATGATTCGTATCCGTCCACTCTGGTCAGAAGGCAAAAAAAGTATTAAAGAGGAGCTATATTCCTTCCCCCATATTGTGTGAGATACTCTCCTTTTTTAAAGGATCCTTACTAGGTTCTCCGGCAGTGAGTTTCAAGGCCTATAGCTAGCGTGGGGAGTGGAGGGCTGGTGCAGGTGGGGGTCAGGAAAGCCCTTGTCCTTGTGGGTATCTGATGCTACTGCACAAACTGATACCCACTCACTCACTAGGTCATCAATAAATGCCTGCTAGCTGGCTGTCAGCTGCCAAGAAAAACACAAGAACCTTTGTAATTTGGTGAAAAGAAAGCTACAGCCCATAAGGAGAGCACAACATAGCCAAGCCCTCAGGAATCGATGCCCATGGACAAGGACCAACAAGGCAGTCAATTGTGAAGGGCACTGGTGCTCAGATCAGACAACAAGGAGTGGTCTCCTCTCGCAAAGGCTCCCAAAAGTCCAAACTCCTTGTGGGTACCAGCCTCCACCACCTTCTACACAAGTGTTACAGGCAGATAAGGAGGTTAAGTTTCAGATCTATGCTGGAAAGTTACTTAGGAGCTAAGTCTTTTCAGAG